ATAAATACCAGATTGAAATGACAATAAAACCCCATCATATATTTCAGATCCAACAAAAAACAGCGGGAAAAAAAAATAAATAAATAAAAAAACGGCAACGTAATACTTCACGGCGTCACGGCCAGATTCTTCGTGATCCAATCCATATAATGCGACACCCTCGTGTACACCCCGGGGTACTTGGGGTGCCCGCAGCCGATCCCCCACGACACCACCCCGACCTGGTCGCACTTCCCGGAATTGCAGCAAACCAGCGGTCCTCCGCTGTCTCCCTGTGAGAAACACGCTTTTTATTTCTTACCTAAAAATATATATATCAATATATATATAAATGAGCAAAAGTTAAATTATAAATTATGAAAAGCATTTATTTATTTATTATTATTATTATTTATATAAATATTTATTTTGACAGTCTCATTTAATCACCGAATTGTCCCAATTAAATTCGTAATTTCGGCTATCGTAATTACTTCCTCGATAAGGCCTTCTTGTTTAAACATCTAGATGAACATAAGACGACGATGACGTAATCGAACTTCTCGCCCGCCAATTTTCAATCGACTCCTGAAGAAACCGACCGTGCAGGCGTCCCGCTGCGGCTCGCCGGCGCAGATCATCCCCGGGATGATCCCTCCGGGCGCTGATCCCCCGTACTTCTGCTGGCAGGCGGCGTTGTCCAGGATCGGGACCTCCACCTCTCGCAGCGTCGTCGTCGTCGACCCGCCTGGAAAAAAAAAAAAAAATACAGGATCGCCATGACCTCGCGCCCGTCGGCTCCCCAACCGCCGACGATCGTATTCGCGACGCTCACCCTCCGACAGGGAGCCCCAGCCAGCCACGATGCACCTTTGCCCGACGTACGACTCCCGGGTGTTCGACGGAAGGCACACAGGAGCGACTCCCGAGTTAAAGGCAATCTTCGACGGAAGCACCAACAGAGCTATGTCGTTGTGCTGCAAGAAGAACCAGAAAGTCACGATGAGCTCACGATGGGCTCACGATGAGCTCACGCGACCGAACTCACGAGAGAGCTCCCGCTGAACTGATTGTGGTAGACGACCCTCCAGACGGGCACGTCCACGTGGTTCACCTCCGCCGTCGTCGTGAAGTCGCGGTCCCCCACCGCCACCTTCAGCGTCTGGATCGTGGACGACGACATCCTGAAACGAAACCATCCAGTCCTCCATTGTCTCATTGATCGCTTTGGACGGGGGGAGGGGGGGGGGGGGGGGGGGGGGGGG